CTGTGATGATGTATGTACAAATGTGCTATGTAAGTATTTTCTTTCTGCGTATCTTCCTACAGGATGCTATTTAAGATTATAGATTAAGCAAGGGTGTCAGTAAAACAGTTGATTTTATTGAAACAGAAATAGATTATAGTTGTAGTGGTGCTTTTTTTACAGAAACAATTAGCTACCCTAACACTTTCTCCAGGCCTCCAATTAACTTAGAAATGCATAGGAATTTACATGCCTACATTTTGTTCAGGTGGTTTATGTGTTTTCCGATGTTTGGAATCAATGTTCCTTACTGCATCACCATCTCCTTAAAATAGAATGTTTTCTCTCTAACACATGGCAAGAACATTTTTGACAGTATACAGTTACTCCTTTACTAATTTTAGTTCAGTTCCGTTTCATTAGGATATGAATATTTCATTTCATTCTACCATCCACAGCTTCATCCCAACCCTATCAGCACTTTTTTTTAATTTTATAATGCTTCTAACATGTAATCCAAACAGCCTACTTTGATACTATCACTTTGGCTTAAATAAATATTTTCAGTAAGATCCAGTTTAAATTTCTTTCCTGCATGCTACCAAGAATACAGTCTCAATGCCATCTTCAGAGATTTTAGTCAGCAAATATTTATTTTCTTGGATGGACGGACAGACAGACAGACAGACAGATAGATTCAACTGGGCACAGTTCCCTTATTCTAATTTCACCTAAAGGCCAGGTGAAAAAGGTCAGACCCAACTCCTAGGAAAGGACTGAAGATGCTCATGCTTTGTTTTCAAGTTCTCTAAGTAACTGGATGGAAACACATTCCAGGAAATAACATCACTACAAGTTCAAGGCCCCCCAAATATCATAATCCTCCTTTTTTTATTTGCTAAGGACACTATGTTGCAGTAGTTAAGATACTGAACTAGGATTGAAAAGACCCAAGATAAGTCCATCTTCTGCCATTAAAGCTCACTGGATAACTTTTGGCAAATCACCCTCTCTCAGCCCAGCCTGCTTTACAGGGTTGTTGTGAGGAAAACTGGAGGAGGGAGCACAACGTATACCACTTGAACTTCCCGTCAAAAGACAATATAACTCCAATAAAAATGTCAAAAAAGCATATGTGTTCATCTCTTCCATTGCTTTGAAATGTCATTCGTGACATACTGTATATATCAGGGAATTATGAAGCGCTGTTTCATGATACAAGGTAAAAGAATAAGCAGGCTGAAAGATTTTACCATTAATATTTTCTACTTAATGAATGTATCCCTTCAAAACCTGCAAAGAAGATATGCAAGGCATGTAAACAAATCACAAATCACATATTAGGTTGTGTCTTGAGTAGCAAACCAACTAAAATAGCCTTACCATAGGCAGCGGAACAAAAATAACTAATAATTTTCTTCCTTGAAAAATACAAGAAATGCATAACAAATTCCCAAGTTAAAAAAAACAACACCATCAATCAAGTACTTGTCTTAAGGACGGGACATAATAAGCAGTATGTTGCTTGTTCCTTTATGTGTATAATTCATTATAAGCACACTGGAGTCTCTTCAGACAAAATTATCTGATTACATGCAGCTCCTTGTGTAATACAAGTGGACATTGCTTAAATAGCTAAAAATAATTCATATGAAATGAAAGACTAGATAGAGGTGATAACTGCCAGAAAATAACCGCATACCAGTTCAAACATCTCATTCAGCCACACTTCAGAAGCATACTAGACTAAAATTAAATGTATCCATGACATAAACAGAAAATGTGAAACGTATTAGGTAACCTAATTCAGGACAATAGGAGCCCTTCTCCTATACAATGCTGACATTTAATTTACATTAGATTGTTACTGATTTTTTTTATTGTGAAGCACTTAGGAAAAAAGTACAAGACAGACTTCAATGTTCAACAGAAATCCCACTAAAGAGATCAAAATGCATGCAAATGATATAATTTATCAGTATTACAGCCTGTATTTTGCACTCTTCCTTTTTCACAGTGCGTGCAGTGCAAGGTGCATATCTCACACACATACACACACTCACCCCTAATGTTTTATGTGAGAAGAGAAGAATTTGGTTATACAATACATCTAGTCCAAAGCTAACCCCATATCAGATTGTATTTGCTCATGGAGAGAGACTTCAAATCTACTCTCTCATGTTGGGTGATCTCAGTTATATTTGAATGAAGAATCTCCTTTGTTCTTTGAGGTAGAACTCATTCATCTTCAACATCAGTTACTCAGGAATGCCTGGTAAATAGCTATCTAATGTATATTGGCTCAAAATGTGCATGACAGAAGAAGGAACACAAAGAACTAATAAAAATGACAGAAATGATACTTTCCAGGAATGACAGAATGTCAAGCTATCAAGCTTTACTTTGATTACATACTGCATTGCCTCAACCAATTCATTTTTAGGGAACTGGTATTGTTCACTGAACTATTCTTGTATTTTTGTATGCTCCTTTTTTTAAATATAAAAACTCTAGAATTAGCTCTCCCCCCCCCCCCCCCCCC